AAATTTCAATAACTATGGATATTTATCTAGTGCCATCTAATTCCTGCTCCTACAACTAAATTAAATCCAATATAACGTTCCAGAATGTTATTAATTTTTACAAGACATAGTTCTACCACCTATATTATACATTTTAAATCTTTTACATTAACATGGTATTATTAATTATTTTAATCGTCATCGATACTTCTAACACCAGACCTGATGAAAGGTGTCGCTGATAGCCTGAGTACTTTGTTCATTTCCTTATTATTATTATTAGTGATTAAGGGGACCCCCCATTCTCGGGGTCAAAAATTTTTTTTTTTTTGATTTAATTCGAATCTACACTAATTCAAGAATGTCCCTACAAAATTTCATGTGAAAATCTCAAGCCCTTGAAGATATAGCCGATTTATTGTGTCAGCATCAAGTGACGGCTAAAGGGTTTCTCAAACTTTAAACGCGTTTTTCTCTTTTGCGAATGGCGGGCACGATAACTCAAAAACTAATAACCCAATCAAAAACTAATAACCCAATCAAATTTTTACACGTTTCTCTGTGAGTGTATAGCTATCGTATGAACTAGGATGAAGCCAATCGGTGAAGATCTTCCTTATTTTTTAACTTGGTTTTTGGTCAAAAATCGGCGATTTTCCAAAAATATTTTTTCAAAGGTCCGCCATTTTGTTAATTTTAGAGCGAAGTCGATAATCCTAGTTCATACGAGTGCCAGACATGTACTCTTTCTAACACCGTTGGAATTTTTGACTTCCGATGTTCCAGTGAGGAGTTATCATGCCCGCCATCAAAATAAGGACTTTTCTTTGATCACAAAAAACAACAACAAAAATTTGATCCCTTAAGCAGATTATAATTAATTTTGCACTAGATTTATTGAATTATTAAAAATGAATTGTACATAAAACTTAAAGTAACATGTGGTAAACAAAGTTTATGCATTTTTGAGGTTATGATAATATTAGGATTTGGAACTTTCATAACCAAGGATGGGAAGGGTTCGTGAACTAACACCTATTACCGTTATATCACTTTGAGCTTGTATGTTTTAAGAAGTATTAATCTGTTTAAACAGCACGTGAAACTTTTGTAATGCTTGACCACAGGATCCAGCAAGTTCCTCCCAATCCGACGAGCTAGACCTTAATTGCAAGCACGTGCTGGTCGCTGAAGATTCTGTGGCGTTAATTGCTAAACAACAAGGCCATTACAACATATCTGTTGAAAAGGTGGCACAAAAAATGAAAATCAGAGAAACGTTTGGGTTTTTTTTTTAAATATACCAAAAGTTTTAGACAAATTTGTCAAATCCCGCATTGTTCTCGTCGCAAAGTCATTTGGGACATCTTAACCGATTCTCACCAGAGTAGGATATAAAATGCTAATAGATGAATTTTGACAATCTCAAAAATCATTTCAATAAAACGAATTGAAAAACTCTCCATAAAAATATTTCCTTAGTAAATATTGTCGTGTGCGACCATTTTACAACAAAGTGGCACATTTGGTATCGAAATAAAATAGTGTACACAAGAATGGCAGGGATAAAAAAACGATCAAAATTGACACTTTACACCGAATAATTTATCGACGAATAGTAGTTCAAAGAGTGAGATCTCAACAAAGCGGTCATCGCTTTGTTAAATTCGCCGATCAAACGTATTATGGGTAGTTTGGCAGGTAGTCGATGAATTTATCGGTATGGTAGAACTGAGCGTAATTACTTTTTTCAGAACTATAACAATAGATTATAGGCCTATGTGGATCGCATACATCCCGAGCTGTATGGGTTTTAGCAGATTCGGACTTTTCGTTTGTTTGTATTGAATTATGTTTAAGATAAAATAATACAGTTATTGGATGTGTGAATTAGGTCACTCCCACTTTTCACTAAAAAAGCACTACCAATTATTACCAATCAATCGAAAATTTTACCATAATTTGATAAAACCAGTTTCGATAATTAATAATTAATAAAAAAAACATTCCAAGCTCTTGATTAATTCCAGACATGTGATTCTTCTTTATTATTTGATATCAACGAACACGATAATTTGCAATTTTGTTTTTTCAAAATAATAGTCATATAGCTTTGATTGTCATAAAAATATCTAACAAATCACTCATGTTGTCATAAATTGTTGTCTCCAAAGCCATTAGAGGAAAATATAACAAAATTCTGAAAAGAATAATTAAAAATATTAAAATTTGCAACTCATTCGCCACACTAACACCAATATCACATTTCCAAAAAAAAATAACGAAATTCAAGAGGCCTTAGGTTTATATCTTGCTAGCATTCAATATATGCTATAAGTTTCACGGGTGGGGTATGTACAACACCCACCCACCTACCCATCCATCCATTTAACCGACGAACGGCGTAGTCAAGTACAATTGAACAATACAATAACACTTTACGAGACCAATAACGCGATATCCATATTTCATAAATATGGCTATTTGTTGTTGTTGATTGTTTATATATTTTTTGTAGACCTTCCCCCTAAAAAATATTTTATCGCAAACGAAAAAAAAATTGATTTCTGAATTCCATATCTACTTCAAAACAATAGTTATTATATGGAAGAATTGTAGGTGCTGTCTGCATATTTTTGTTATCCCCCTGTCCCCTCTCTCCGGCTGCTAAACGTTTAGTTTTACCACCAGCCAGTGGTGAAAACAATCAATCATTGGCTAGGCTTTAACCTGTTAGATAATGTTGTGCTGTTATTTAGTATTAGTGGAGGAAATCGAACGAAATATATTTTCAAATTAATGATATTATATAAAAGCTATCAAAAATATATATATAAAAAATTATTCTTTAAAAAATCCACGCCTTGTTGTAGCCTTGAAAAAATATTCTTTAAAAAATCCACGCCTTGTTGTAGCCTTGAAAAAATATTCTTTAAAAAATCCACGCCTTGTTGTAGCCTTGAAAAAATATTCTTTAAAAAATCCACGCCTTGTTGTAGCCTTGAAAAAATATTCTTTAAAAAATCCACGCCTTGTTGTAGCCTTGAAAAAATATTCTTTAAAAAATCCACGCCTTGTTGTAGCCTTGAAAAAATATTCTTTAAAAAATCCACGCCTTGTTGTAGCCTTGAAAAAATATTCTTTAAAAAATCCACGCCTTGTTGTAGCCTTGAAAAAATATTCTTTAAAAAATCCACGCCTTGTTGTAGCCTTGAAAAAATATTCTTTAAAAAATCCACGCCTTGTTGTAGCCTTGAAAAAATATTCTTTAAAAAATCCACGCCTTGTTGTAGCCTTGAAAAAATATTCTTTAAAAAATCCACGCCTTGTTGTAGCCTTGAAAAAATATTCTTTAAAAAATCCACGCCTTGTTGTAGCCTTGAAAAAATATTCTTTAAAAAATCCACGCCTTGTTGTAGCCTTGAAAAAATATTCTTTAAAAAATCCACGCCTTGTTGTAGCCTTGAAAAAATATTCTTTAAAAAATCCACGCCTTGTTGTAGCCTTGAAAAAATATTCTTTAAAAAATCCACGCCTTGTTGTAGCCTTGAAAAAATATTCTTTAAAAAATCCACGCCTTGTTGTAGCCTTGAAAAAATATTCTTTAAAAAATCCACGCCTTGTTGTAGCCTTGAAAAAATATTCTTTAAAAAATCCACGCCTTGTTGTAGCCTTGAAAAAATATTCTTTAAAAAATCCACGCCTTGTTGTAGCCTTGAAAAAATATTCTTTAAAAAATCCACGCCTTGTTGTAGCCTTGAAAAAATATTCTTTAAAAAATCCACGCCTTGTTGTAGCCTTGAAAAAATATTCTTTAAAAAATCCACGCCTTGTTGTAGCCTTGAAAAAATATTCTTTAAAAAATCCACGCCTTGTTGTAGCCTTGAAAAAATATTCTTTAAAAAATCCACGCCTTGTTGTAGCCTTGAAAAAATATTCTTTAAAAAATCCACGCCTTGTTGTAGCCTTGAAAAAATATTCTTTAAAAAATCCACGCCTTGTTGTAGCCTTGAAAAAATATTCTTTAAAAAATCCACGCCTTGTTGTAGCCTTGAAAAAATATTCTTTAAAAAATCCACGCCTTGTTGTAGCCTTGAAAAAATATTCTTTAAAAAATCCACGCCTTGTTGTAGCCTTGAAAAAATATTCTTTAAAAAATCCACGCCTTGTTGTAGCCTTGAGAAAAAATATTTTTTAAAAAATCCACGCTTTAAAAAAATATTTTTTAAAAAATCCACGCCTTGTTGTAGCCTTGAAAAAATATTCTTTAAAAAATCCACGCCTTGTTGTAGCCTTGAAAAAATATTCTTTAAAAAATCCACGCCTTGTTGTAGCCTTGAAAAAATATTCTTTAAAAAATCCACGCCTTGTTGTAGCCTTGAAAAAATATTCTTTAAAAAATCCACGCCTTGTTGTAGCCTTGAAAAAATATTCTTTAAAAAATCCACGCCTTGTTGTAGCCTTGAAAAAATATTCTTTAAAAAATCCACGCCTTGTTGTAGCCTTGAAAAAATATTCTTTAAAAAATCCACGCCTTGTTGTAGCCTTGAAAAAATATTCTTTAAAAAATCCACGCCTTGTTGTAGCCTTGAAAAAATATTCTTTAAAAAATCCACGCCTTGTTGTAGCCTTGAAAAAATATTCTTTAAAAAATCCACGCCTTGTTGTAGCCTTGAAAAAATATTCTTTAAAAAATCCACGCCTTGTTGTAGCCTTGAAAAAATATTCTTTAAAAAATCCACGCCTTGTTGTAGCCTTGAAAAAATATTCTTTAAAAAATCCACGTTTTGTTGTAGCCTTGAAAAAATATTCTTTAAAAATCTATGCCTATTCTGGGCCATGAAAAAATATTCTTTAAAAAAAATCCTAGCCTATTCTAGGTCTTGGAAAAAATTCTTTAAAAATCCTCGCCTATTCGAGGATTTAATAATAATTATGTTATTAAAAAATATATATTTTTTATATTTATTAATTAATTTTGTATTTATTTATATTTTTGAGAACAATAACATCTGATTTCATTAAGAACAATTAAACTGATACCCCATATCCAAGCAGGAACAGTTCGGCAAGGTACAACGAGCTCCAGCAGCTGGCAGTGTTGATGGCGGTAAGGCTGGAGCTAAATGACCCTGAAAGGTTATGGGAAAGGTGAGAGGCACAAACCATTTGGGATAGTTGGCTGTGGTCGAGGCGGTCGTGGCTGTGGCACATATATTACTGGACAAATTCAAGGCTGACTGGGAGTGCTGGAAATAAAAAAGATAAATTCAACATTCAAAATTATTTCAATACAGGGGAGTGAACCTAACTCACCACATTCCCCGCCGAAGAATAGACCGGCTTAAAGGCACTCTTAATGCCCATTTCATTTCTATGCAGTCGTCCCCCATCCATCTCCCTTAAATCCTTGTGATCATGAAAATTACCCGAAATATTTTCAATGGCCTTAATCAAATCGGAATCACAACGTTTCAAAATCAATTCCAATACGGAACGTTTTCGATGGGGGAAAATTTGCATTAACATTTCAATGGCATTCTGGGAGACTTGTTGACTTTCGGAGGTTAAGGAAATCGAATTGGTATCCTTCTCTCGAATTTGTGGTGATTCTTCCCTGCCTATATTTGTTTTTGTTGTTGTTTTTATTGAATTATCCGATTTTGGCTTGGGGCAATTTGCTGATTTGGGATTTATTTCTTCGATTTCTGTTTGTTGTTGTTGCTGTTGTTTATTTGGCAAACTTAAATCTTCTACTGCGGAACTTTCCAGAGGTGGGGGTTTCTCTGTGGTCAGTTGTTCTCCATTTAAACCAAAAATGCTACCCGGAGGCAAGGTGTCCAATTGTTGTCCTGTTTTTGTTGCCACCAGACGCAGAGCAATGGCATCTTCAACAGCTTGCTGGCGCTTCAGGGCAACCTGTAAAACAAGGAATGCAAGGAGTAGAGAGAGAGAGAGAGGGGGAAGAGAGAATATGTGGTTAGATGATTTTTTCAAGAATCCTTAGATGTGGTGGTCAGATGCTGGGCAGGAGCATACACCAGCTGATTAGTACAATTTGGTTAGAGGAATGCATGCCTAATGATTGGAACCTCAGCTTCATGTGTCCCGTACACAAAAAGGAGACAAGACGATGTACCAACTATAGAGGAATAAGTCTCCTTCCCATCGCATATAAACTGTGTGAACGACTGAAGCCAATGGTCAATGACATTATTGGACCATACCAATGCGGCTTCAGGCCTGGCAAATACACCATTGACCAGATTTTCACTCTCCGCCAAATCCTGTAAAAGACTCACGAAAAACACATCCGCACATAACACCTATTCGTCGACTATAAAGCCGCATTTGACAGCCCTATCCGTTCAGAGGTGTTTAAAGCCATGCCTACGTTCGGCATTCCTGCAAAATTAATACGGCTATGCAGGATAACTTTATGTTTCACAAGGTCAGCAGTTAAAGTCGGAAAGGACCTATCGGAGCCCTTCAATACAGAACGAGGATTCAGACAAGGTGACAATTTGTCGTGCGAACAGAAATGGCACTGTGTACACCAAACAACACATTTTACTCACCTACGCAGATTTCAAACCGATTACATCGATATGATGGGTCGAAAATTGCGTGCGGTAACAGCCACCTTTGAACAAATTAAGAAAGAGTCTGCCAAAGTGGGTCTGGCAGTAAACGTAGAAAAGACAAAGACAAGACTCGGACCAACTGTGGAACTTGAGAACTACAGCTTCGAGGTAGTTAAAAATTTTATATACCTTGGTACCGCCATAAATAAAACGAATGACATCAGTTTTTAAATTCGGAGAAGGATGTGGCCAATAGATGCTACTAGGGTCTAAGTAAGCTGTTTACAAACAAGGCCACATTCCGCCACACCAAACTCACACTTTACAAGACGCTGATTCTACCCGTGCTGTTATATGGATCGGAAGCATGTGTACTTGGGAAAGCAGATGAGGCAGCTCTTGGGGTGTTTGAAAGAAAAATTCTCCGAAAGACCTACGGGCCGATCTGCGTCGACGGTGAATATCGGCGTTGAATAAACCACGAACTTTACAATTTATATGCGGACATCGACATAGTCAGACGTATTAAGCTGCAGCGACTACGATGGCTGGGCCATATTCTGCGTATGAATGAGAATGCCCCAGCTCAAAAGGCATATAAAAGCGAGCCTACTGGTGGTTCCCGTAGAAGGGGAAGGTGACGAATCAGATGGAAAGACCAATTTTAGAAAACAACATCTTGGAACGTGATCTTTCGAATTGGAGGAGATGCGCACAAGACGCGCTTGGAAATCTTTTTTAAGCTAGGCTTATGGAACAACCGTTCAGTAACAAGCCAGCTAAGTAAGTAAGAATGAGGCGTAAATTTTTTAAAAATATTTTTTCCAAGCCTAGAATGAGTCGTGGATTTTTTTAAATATTTTTTTCCAAGCCTAGAATGAGGCGTGGATTTTTAAAAATATTTTTTTCCAAGCCTAGAATGAGGCGTAGATTTTTTTAAAAATATTTTTTCGAAGCCTAGAATGATGCGTGGATTTTTTAAAAATATTTTTTTTCCAAACCTAGAATGAGGGGTGGCTTTTTTTAAAATATTTTTTTTCCAAGCCTAGAATGAGGCGTGGATTTTTTTTAAATATTTTTTCCAAGCCTAGAATGAGGGGTGGATTTTTTTTTTAATATTTTTCCAAGCCTAGAATAAGGCGTGGATTTTTTAAAAATATTTTTTTCCAAGCCTAGAATGAGGCGTGGATTTTTAAAAATATTTTTTTCCAAGCCTAGAATGAGGTGTGGATTTTTTAGAAATATTTTTTTTCCAAGCCTAGAATGAGGCGTGGATTTTTTTAAAATATTTTTTCCAAGCCTAGAATGAGGCGTGGATTTTTTAAAAATATTTTTTTTCCAAACCTAGAATGAGGCGTGGATTTTTTTTTAAATATTTTTTCCAAACCTAGAATGAGGCGTGGATTTTTTAAAAATATTTTTCCAAGCCTAGAATGAGGCGTGGATTTTTTAAAAATATTTTTTCCTAGCCTAGAATGAGGCGTGGATTTTTTAAAAATGTTTTATTCCAAGCCTAGAATGAGGCGTGGATTTTTTAAAAAAATTTTATTCCAAGCCTAGAATGAGGCGTGAATTTTTTAAAAAATTTTAATTCCAAGCCTAGAATGAGGCGTGGATTTTTGTTTTAAAATATTTTTTCCAAGCCTAGAATGAGGCGTGGATTTTTTACAAATATTTTTTTCCAAGACTAGAATGAGGCGTGGATTTTTTAAAAATATTTTTTTCCAAGCCTAGATTGAGCGTGGATTTTTTAAAAATATTTTTTTCCAAGCCTAGAATGAGGCGTGGATTTTTGTTTTAAAATATTTTTTCCAAGCCTAGAATGAGGCGTGGATTTTTTACAAATATTTTTTTCCAAGCCTAGAATGAGGCGTGGATTTTTTTAAAAATATTTTTTCCAAGCCTAGAATGAGGATTTTTTTTAATTTTTTTTTTCAAAGCGATGACCATCAGAATTCACTGCCTTCAAATGACTTCTGCATGGTCCTCACCCCCCTGAAAAGCTGTAAAACCTCAGTATGGCCTTACATTTCCTTAAGTCCAATCAATTATCCACTACTGCTGGCCTTTTTTTTTTGTTTATCCTGCGGCAGTTATTTAAACAATTATTTGACGAGAGACAATTGAAATTAATATGCCGAACATGAGTTTATCTTTAACCGGGTGTTAAGACCTAATAGTATCCCCATCTCCAACCCTGTCCGCCCTTCTAAACACCATAATCCACATCCAAAAATCATCACCATTGCCTTAATTCGAATGACGATTATCCTTGGGGGCGGGGAAGGGAGACAAATAAAATATTTATTGTGGTTTTTGTTGTATTTGTAACATGACCTTTCGTCAACGAAATCTTGTCTTGTCTTGCATGCTCCGCCGAATAAAATAGGACGAACACTTGTGCAAACAGTGTAAAGGAAAATTGTGGTGGTGGTGGAGTGGAGGTAGGGGAGAAAAATTTGGAAAATTCCGTTTTATTTGTTAAGTTTATTTTTCATGTTGCTCGGAAATGTGTGTTTGCATTGTTTGTTTGTCTTGATGTTTGGTTGTTGTTGTTGTTATTTTGGTTGAAACTTGTTGGTTGCAAGGCGTTTCTATTTCACAGATTGAAATGCCGGTGGCGATGGTGGTGTCAAGTTTTTTCTCCATTTCCCGCTTTTTCCCCTGCCATTTCTAAATTCGTTTGACATTAACTCATCTCCTCATCAGTTGAACATTTAGGTATTTACATTTGTTTTGATTTAATATCATCAATTCATATTAGGAATAAAATAAAACTATCTATGATAGGGTGCAGAACTTTCACTCCCTTGGCATATCTTGTCTAGGAATTTGTCAGTTTATTTTGATGTTTGAATGATAAGGTATTCTCCAATGGGAATACATGGAATTGTATCTTCTTCCCAGAGGCATATTTACTTAATCAATTACGTTCGTTGTATTCCGAATGAAAGAAGTCTGAGAAGTCAGTGGCTAGTTTTTGGAGGTTTCGATAAAACAAACATCAACACATGTCCAAGAAATTAGCTTCTTCTTTTCAAGGATCAACAGAGACGTGGTTTTTATAACGAATATTTTTTAAGACACCAACAGAGGAGTGGATTTTTTAACAATCTTTTTAGAGGACAATTGCGAGCAAGTAGATGCCTACTTCGCTCAACTTACCCACCTGCATGACGAAAGCACTTCTTGTCCCGATAATAGTATAGAAGTACAATGGCAAAGAATTGCCCACCCCCTGCAGCAAAAGCAACAGATGGGTACCAAAAACCACCATCAAGAAACCCATGGTACGATCAGGAGTGTCGTAATGCTATTGATATGTACAGGAGTCAGAATGAAGTCCCAAAAATTCTACCAACGGATAAAACACCAAACCGAAGGCTTGGTGTTTCTCTGCACCCAGAACCAATAATAGATGACGGTATATAGTGTATACCACCCAGCCAAGATGAGGTCAGAATAGCAATCAATCGGCTGAAGAAGAATAAAGCTGCAGGTGCCGATGGGTTACAAGCCGAACTATTCAAGACTGGTGGTCAGACGCTGGTAAGGAGCTTGCACCAGCTGATTAGAACAATTTGGCTAGAGGAATGCATGCGCAAGGATTGGAACCTCAGCATCCTATGTACCGTGTACAAAAAAGGAGACAATACCATCGCATATAAAGTGCGACTGAAGCCAATGGTCAATGACATTATTGGACCATACCATGGCACAATGAATAGGTAGTCCATTTAGAGCAGCTGATGTCTTGATTAAGTGCGTAATTTCTACTTGAATTCGATGTGCAATGTTGCCAACCATGTGAAATATTATATAAGGAAAAATTTGACAGAAAGTCAAGACAAAAACAAAGGTTTTTGTTTTGATACATCACCTTATTATTGCATCATGGACCATACCAATGTGGCTTTTGGCCTGGCAAATCCACCATTTACCAGATTTTCACTCTGTGCCAAATCCTTGAATAGACCCACGAAAAACACATCGACACATTTCAACTATTCGTTGACTATAAATCCGCATTCGGGAGCCTTATCCGTTCAGAGGTGTTTAAAGTCATGTCTGCCTTTGTCATTCCTACAAATTTAATCCGGCTATACAGGATAACTTTAACTGGCACAAGATCAGCAGTTAAAGTCGGAAAGGAACCCTTTAACACCGAAAGAGGACTCAGACAAGGTGATAGTGTGTCGTGTGACCTTTTATCATCCTGCTGGAAAAGGTCATACGAGAGGCAAAGGTGAACAGAAATGACACTCTGTACACCAAACAACACATGTTACTGGCCTACGCCGACGACATCGACATAATGGGTCGAACATTAAGAGCGGAGTCTGCCAAAGTGGGTCTGGCACTAAACGACGCGCAAGACGTCCAGTAGACTCGAACCAAGTGTGGAACTTGAGAACTACAGCTTCGAGGTAGTCAAAGATTTTATATACCTTGGTACCGCCATAAATAAAACGAATGACATCAATTTTGAAATTCGGAGAAGGATAGTGATGGCCAACCGATGCTACTATGGTCTGAGCAAACAACTCAAAAGCAAGGCCATCTCCCGTCAGACCAAACTCACACTCAACAAGACGCTGATACTACCCGTGCTGTTATATGGATCTGAAGCATGGGTACTTGCGCAAGCAGATGAGGCAGCTCATGGAGTGTTTGAGAGAAAAATTCTCCGAAAGATCTATGGGCCGATCTGCGTTGACGGTGATTATCGCCGACGAATGAACCATGAGATGTTCCTGCTATTCTCGGACATCGGTATTGTTAGACGTATTGAGCTGCTGCGACTACGTTGGCTAGGCCATGTTACAGAAAGAACTATTATTAAGGCAGAGAGAATTTCGCTGAAATTTGTATACCCCCAGCATGAGGTCGACATTCAAAATACCCAATATCGATAGGAAAATTTATACGAAGGCTTTGTCATGGTACCCAGGTTTGAAAATTGAACCAGAATCTTGAACTTGGCTAAATAGCAATATACTTTTATTTCGATCAAAAATATTAATATGTATGGTGTCTTCGTTGAATATTTTAAAGTGTTGCAAAATCCATGCCTGTCGGACTTCTTACTTACTTAGCTTGCTTGTGACAGAACATTTGTTCCATAAGCCGAGCTTAAAAATATTTCTGCTTCCGATAGTACCCATGCTTCAGATCCATATAACTAGCACGGGTAGTATGAGGTGGCCTTGTTTTAAAACTGATTACTTAGACCATAGTAGCATCTGTTGGCCATCACTATCCTCCGAATTTCAAAACTTATGTCATTATGACGGTACCAAGGTATATAAAATCTTTTACAACCTCGGAACTGTAGTTCTCAAGTTCCTCCATTGGTCCAAGTCTACTGGACGTCTTGCGCGTTGATACCATCAGCTTGATCTTCTCGACATTTACTGCCAGTCCCACGCCATTACCGCTCGCAATGTTACACCCATTGTATCGATGCCATCAGCGTATGCGAGTAACATGTGGCGTTTTGATCATTTCTGTTCACATTCGCTGCATCTCGTATGACCTTTTCCAGCAGGATGTTAACCTTGTCTGAATCCTCGTTCGGTATTAAAGGGCTCCGATATGTCTTTTCCGTCCGACCCTCTGCGGTCTTTGAAAAAATTTTCTTTAAACAATTCACGCTAGTTGTAATTTTAGCTCCTGAAAAATTATTCTTTAAAAAATCCATGCTTGTGCCTCCATAGGTCCTCGAAATATTATTTAAAAATCAGCTACTAAAGGACTTTGGATCCTTAAAAATTTGGTTTTTGAAAAAAAAAAATATTTAAAACTTCAAGCCTGCAGCTGTGATAGTCCTAGAAATTTATTCTCAAAAATTGTTCTTTCCAATATCCGCGTCAGTTGGTCTTTCGATTCTTGAAAAATTAATTAATTAAAAAAATGTATGTTTCTGCATCCATAGGTACTCCAAAAAAAATATTCTATATAAATCCACGCCAGTACGGGTTTTGGTCCTTGAAAAATAGTATTTAGGGCCTTTAGTCCTTGAAATTTTGTTCTCGATAAATTATTTATAAAAAATCCAAACGTGTGCCTCCATAGGTTCTCCAAAAAAATATTTATAAAAAATTTACACTTGTGGTCTATTTGGTCCTAAAAAACTTTTTTAAAAATTCACTCAATTCGGGATTTTGGTCCAAAAATTTGTTTTTTTTTAAAATTTACGCGTTTCAGACTTTTTGTCCCAATTTTTTTTCTTAAAAAATCCACGCCTTTCGAACCTTTGGTCAAAAAATTTTTTTTTTTTTTAAATTTACGCGTTTCACACTTTTGGTCCCAATTTTTTTCTTAAAAAATCCACGCCTTTCAGATCCTTGGTACTAATTTTTTTTCTTTAAAAATCCACGCTTTTTGGACCTTTGGTTTTAAAATTTTTTTCTTAAAAAATCTACGCCTTTCGGTTCTATTTTTTTTTTAATTAAAAAATCCACGCCTTTCGGTTCTATTTTTTTAATTAAAAAATCCACGCCTTTAGGACCTTTGGATCTAATTTTTTTTCTTTAAAAATCAAAGCCTTTCGGACCATATTTGTTCATAAAACATCGAACCTTTGGTCAAAAATTTGTTTTTTTTAAAATTTACGCGTTTCAGACTTTTGGTCCCAATTTTTTTTTCTTACAAAATCCACGCCTTTCGAACCTTTGGTCAAAAATTTTTTTTTTTTTTTTAAATTTACGCGTTTCAGACCTTTGGACCCAATTTTTTTCTTAAATTTTTAATTTTTTTTTACAAAATCCACGCCTTTCAGACCCTTGGTACTAATTTTTTTTCTTTAAAAATACACGCCTTTCAGACCCTTGGTTCAATTTTTTTAATTAAAAAATCCACGCCTTTCGGTTCTATTTTTTTAATTAAAAAATCCACGCCTTTAGGACCTTTGGTTCTAATTTTTTTTCTTTAAAAATCAAAGCCTTTCGGACCATATTTGTTCATAAAACATCCAAGCCTTTCGGACCATATTATTGGTCCCAATTTGTTCATAAAAATCCATGCCTTTCGGACCTTTGGTACTAAAATTATTTTCTTTAAAAATCCAAGACTTTTAGACCTTTGGTTCTAATTTGTTTTCTCTTTAAAAAATCTACGCCTTTTAGACCTTTGGTTCTATTTTTTTTTTTCTTTCTAAAAAATCTTTCTTTATGCCTTTCAGACCATATTTTTTGGTCCCATTTTTTTTCTTAAAAAATCCACGCCTTTCGCACTTTTGATCCTATATTTTACTTCTTTAAAAACATACACCTTTCGGGCGTTTTGTTCTAATTTTTTCCTTTAAAAATTCACGCCTTTCGGACCCTAAATTTTTTTTTTAAAAATCCATGTTAAACCACGCCTTTCGGATCCTATTTTTTTTTCTTCAAAAAACCACCCCTTTCTAACTTTTTATCCTATTTTTTCTTTTAAATTCCACGACATTTGGATCCTTGATCCTAATATTTGGTTTAAATAATTCACGCATTTCGAATTTTTTATCAATTTTTTTTTTAATCCAGGCTTTTCGAACTGTTGGTCCTAATTTTGTTTTCTTTAAAATCCACGCCATTGAAGTTTTGATAGTCCTTGGAAATATACTCTTTAAAATTCCAAGACTGGAGTTCTGATTTCCCTTAAAAAAAATCCACTCCTGCGCGACCTTAAAAATAACTGTCTAGGTCAGTGGAGTGAACTTCTATAGACAGAAGTTTGTTCCCGCGATGTTTTACGAATATTGTCCAGCATTGATCGTTAGTTTTACTATTAAATATCAGCTGTCCACACTCACCTGTGCCGCCATAATACGCTGCCGCTCGAATATCAAAACGCACTTCGCACAACGGCAATTCTTGTAGGTGCAATGTTTTTTGTGGCCGCGTAACTCCGATATCCAGCCATGATTACGGCAACGGGCACATTTTGGTACGCGATTACTACCGGAGGCACCACCACCAGCAGCAGCACCACTGCTGGCCAAGTTAAAAGGACCACTGTCATCCGTCGATAAATGTGATTTCAAAGATTTGCGAGATTTTTTACCCATAACCGTTGTTCCAAGCACCACCGCGGATGCTGATGCGGATGGTACCTCAATTGTTGTAACATTTTCTGCCGGCATTGGTATAGTGGTCATTGTTATTAAATGGAATTGACTTTTCCGTAAATGTTTCGCAGCGAACGCCAAAGAAAGTCATTTGTAACGGTTTTAAAGTTACGACGTAACTGATTCGAACGGAAAACCACTTGACAAAAATGTTACAGTTTTGAGGCCATTTCTTGCTACACTTGTGGGAGGGTGGCGAAACGGTTATTATGCGCATGATCAGGATAGTTCTTGCCTTCAATTTCGAAAACTTTGTTACAAGGATTTTTGGATGTTTGTTACAAGGAGTTTTGTTACACTCAATGGAGAGCTTGAAGAGAGAATGGGGGAATGGGTGGAATAAGTTGACGCCTCTTTTATACGACAATGCTATTGGTGGATTGGTATTTAAAAGGAGGGCAAGTATACAGGATGCTTGTTTAGATAGTCACTTCTCATATCTTTTTTTGTTTAATTTTGAATTAGACGAACAAGTCAGAAAGTCGACGACCGAAAAAATGATAATAAGGTGTGGATTTTTAAAGAATAATTTTTTCAAGGCTACAACAAGGCGTGGATTTATTAAAGAATATTTTTCAAGGCCTTAAATAGGCGTGGATTTATTAAAGAATATTTTTTAAGGCCTAGAATAGGCGTGGATTTATTAAAGAATATTTTTTTCAAGGCCTAGAATAGGCGTGGATTTATTAAAGAATATTTTTCAAGGCCTAGAATAGGCGTGGATTTATTAAAGAATATTTTTCAAGGCCTAGAATAGGCGTGGATTTATTAAAGAATATTTTTCAAGGCCTATAATAGGCGTGGATTTATTAAAGAATTATTTTTTTCAAGGCCTACAGTAGGCGTGCATTAAAAAAGGCCTAGAATAGGCGTGGATTTATTAAAGAATATTTTTCAAGGCCTATAATAGGCGTGGATTTATTAAAGAATTATTTTTTTCAAGGCCTACAGTAGGCGTGCATTAAAAAAGGCCTAGAATAGGCGTGGATTTATTAAAGAATTATTTTTTTCAAGTCATACCAAAGGCGTGGATTTATTAAAGAATTATTTTTTTCAAGTCATACCAAAGGCGTGGATTTATTAAAGAATTATTTTTTTCAAGTCATACCAAAGGCGTGGATTTATTAAAGAATTATTTTTTTCAAGTCATACCAAAGGCGTGGATTTATTAAAGAATTATTTTTTTCAAGTCATACCAAAGGCGTGGATTTATTAAAGAATTATTTTTTTCAAGTCATACCAAAGGCGTGGATTTATTAAAGAATTATTTTTTTCAAGTCATACCAAAGGCGTGGATTTATTAAAGAATTATTTTTTTCAAGTCATACCAAAGGCGTGGATTTATTAAAGAATTATTTTTTTCAAGTCATACCAAAGGCGTGGATTTATTAAAGAATTATTTTTTTCAAGTCATACCAAAGGCGTGGATTTATTAAAGAATTATTTTTTTCAAGTCATACCAAAGGCGTGGATTTATTAAAGAATTATTTTTTTCAAGTCATACCAAAGGCGTGGATTTATTAAAGAATTATTTTTTTCAAGTCATACCAAAGGCGTGGATTTATTAAAGAATTATTTTTTTCAAGTCATACCAAAGGCGTGGATTTTTAAAAAATATTCAAAGAACGCCTGGAATATTTTGTATATACAATTCAAATATTCCCTCATAGCAATATTTGATGATGGCAATAGTGCATTCTTGGGCTGTGTTCAGTAGTAAGTAGCATTGCAGCCGTTCAAACTGTTGTATGTAGCTTTGATATTTACCAGTAGAAGAAAAGAATAAAGTATTAAAAATAGGGAAAAAAATCTTTCATCGCTTAGGTTACGAATTTTTATTTAGAGTATTTAGTTTTATATATGAATATATATTTATTTTATAAATCTACATCGTTTATTATATGTTGTATAGGTCATACATGACCACGTACTTGTTATTGACGCAAATGCAATGCCGTTCAAACTTCAATGTTTGTCGCAACTAAATGATAACGCCGTGCCATTAAAATACCGTGACAACGGAAATATAACTTAAAAGTTTATGAAATTTGGCTTCTATAAAAATATACAAAATAAACAATATGTATATTTTATTAAAACACTATGAAAATACAATTTCCTAGGCTTAATTTATAAAAAGTACGTTTACATTCTACCGGATTTCGTTAACCCAGTGGGTTAAATTGGCAATTCCATTGTATATATGTCAAATAAATCCTCATGAAGTAGGTTGACCCGGTAAAAAGTTCTAATGTAAATGGTGTTTAAGGCATATATCTAACCCCAAAAGAAGTCACGGAATTCGGAAAGCTCCACTAAAAAAATTGTGTCCATCTGAAGCGAAAGCATGAGACAATTAGTGGCTCAAGAGAAGAATAGAACCCTCGAATTAAAAAGGACATAAATTCCATGTTTCAATTGTTAATAGTCTGTTTCAGAATCTATAAGAATCTTCTATTGATTGATTTTTTATTTTTCCTTTATAAATTTGAAAAGTTTAACCACTTTTACAGTACGGGACACATCGAATGATGAGGGATGAAGGGATGCTAAGTTGTGGAGGGTTGCAAAACTAGCGTGTGAAAATATACAAAACACAAAACTTCACATACGGGATGAACTTTTCGGACAGCAGTACCAAGCGTCTCATGATATACTAAACAATGCAGTCTCATACTGTCATAGAGTAGTATTGTATTGGTGGCCAATACAGCTGGCGGGTACAGCTGTCTAAGAACAATTATCTTAATGATATGAAAATACATTTCTTCAAGTTTATTTTCAATATTACTCAAAACTTGATGATGAAAATTATAGCATTTTTATACCCTTTTTTATGGAGGGTATATTGATTTTTTCATTCCGTTTGTAACTCATCGAATTGTTCATTTCCGACCCTATAAACTGTATATGTACTCTTGATCAGGGTAAGGCTACGTTTAGACTACTAAATCCACTCGATCTCAAATGTCAATTTCATTGCGTATACGTAACGTTAATCCTGTTCAAAAATCCAGTGGATTATATTTGACGTATAAACAATGGAATTGACATTGAAGATCGAGTGGATTTCGTAAATCTAAACATACCTTAAGATTCTAAGACGATCTAGCCATGACCGTAAGTCCTTTCTTCCTGTTATAATTTGTTATATATCTTATGAAAGAAATAGAGATAAGGTGCTGAAAATTAGCATTGACTTGTTTTTGTCTGCAGGCAGGTTAAGTTCGAATATTAGGCATAGCACCCATATAACGGTACCTTCAAATTTTTACATAATGGTTCTTTGAAGCGTTTTTCAACCGAATTCGTTGAAATTTGGCACATTGTGATCTTATTATGTAGTAAATCTCTCTACTAAAAATTATAAATATAAGACCATTTTTTCGGGTAGTCCCCATATAACGGTACCTTCAAAAATTTCTTTATTTTGGGGTTTTTTAGTGCGCTTTTCAAACGAATTTGCTGTAAGTGGGTACTTTGCGTTCTTATATATATGTTTCTGGTAACCCCCATATACCGTTACCTCAACTTTTCGATATTGTGGAGTTCCTGTGCGCACTTTCCAATCGAATTCGCTGTAACTTGGCACTTAGAGTTAGTATTGGGTACCAAACATCTCCAGTAAAAATTATAAAGATAGCTCCACTTTTTCTGGTAGCCCCCATATAACGTTAACCCCAAATTTTCATTATTTTGAGGGTTTTGAGCCCGATATTCAATCGAATTCGCTGTAATTTAATATTTTATAGTCGTTTTAATATTCGCCCCTTTTTTGGGGGAAGCTCCCTCTTTTTATATTAAAAAAATTAACTGATTTATTCCGCGTTTTGTGATTGCTGCCTATGGGCGTATTCCACCATAGTATGGCGGATATATTATACCCTACAAAATATTAAATTCTTAGCCGATTTGGCCATATGTTATAGTCATACGACCTACGGAGGATATCGACATAAAAAAACTAGAACGTCAGGTTCGAGAACGAACTTTATCGGCTCGCGTTTAGATCTAGACCCTATTTAATGCAGTATTTTTAGGATTTTATACACATGTTCCATCCTACCATGCCTTGTCAATATCGGCCCACATTTTATAGTTTTGAGTTTTTTTTGGTAAAATCTCCATTGCTGAAATTTGTATTTGGTGCTCATTATTGTTCACAACAAACACTTAGGTATCCAAAATTCGGCACGGCCGAACTAAACGCCTTTTTCACTAATTCGAAGCTAACCTTGATGTAATTTGCCGAAGAAAATCTATGATATTACAAATTACCCGAACATACGCTATGCTTAAAATGTTGCTGTTGAAGTATCTTAGATATGTACTGCTTATGGCAGAAGATCTACGGCCGAAAAATGAATTATGTGTGGCTTAGCCAATAAAATTCAAACTATGGAACTAAGACCCGGAAAAATATATAAGATGCCAGTATACATATTTTTCTTGATACACATATTCTACAGACCAACGAATTATTTCTTAAGTAAATACAGTCACTTGCTGTCCATTTTTTATATATGACAGAAAAAGCCATTACATAGTTGGTTTTTGGTTATTCTCCCCAAGATGTCCCACCTTAAATTCTTGTACAATTGGTACTCTCTCATTTTCGCATACTATTAAAAACAGAAAACACTTTTCTTGTTATTTGTGCTTTAGAATTTGTTTATAATAAATGTTTATTTCAATTTATTAATTAATTTACAATTAATTAAACATTTAAATATTAATTAAATAGCTAGCTTTATCTTATTTTGATATGGCAATGCCATTCAATGTATTTCATCATGACGCCGTTAACGTAACGCCGTCAAATCATACCATAAACGCCGTTTACCTCATTTACCCAGCAGCTACGATTTCTGTCATGGCAGCTCTTCGGCTATTAATTTGACGATGGTTATTCAGTCTCGGAATCATCATCAAACTGGATTGCGTGGAAAAAATGGAGCGGTAGCTAACGAAAACGGTGATTAACAGCAGCGAAGAACGCAAAGAAAACGGCTTTTGTCCGCTACTTCAGCGAATGTTTTTTGTTTTTTTAAGTTACAACGCAGTAAAAAAAATAAAAATAAATTTTTTATATTAAACCAACCACAACCAAACAACAAAAACGTAACGAGACGTCGTCGACGGGATTAACAACAACAACTACGTCCTTCAACGTCTACAACTGTAAACCAATCATTACACTGAGTTTTATTTTTTCCATATTTAACAACAACAAAAGGAAAGGTCTAACGCCGCCACAGAAAAGATACCTTTCCAAATATATATGTATATATGACCGACCGACCGCAACCCAAGCAGAAAAAACGTCTTCTTTTTGGTCATATATATATTGTATGTGATGCAAATTATATCAGCAACAACAGCAAAAGCAAAAACCATTTGAAATCAATCAACCAAACCCACCATCTAGCAAAAAATCTTAATGAATTGCAATAAATTTCGGAATAGCCAGAACAATCCCAGGATTGGAAAGGAGCAACAGCAAAACCAACAAATTGAAAAGTTGAAAATTTCATATACCAACTATATACTATTTTTTCCTCAATACCACCAACAACAACAACATTAGCAATACCAACCATACCCACACCACTGCACTCTACACTCAACCCAATTAAAAATAGAATTCCTTTGCAGAGCAGTTGGCAGAGCAACAATTGTAAAGGCGAAAACAACAACAACACTGATTTCGTGTGATTTTCAGTTGGGGCAGCAACCAACCAACTACAACAAAAAAGCAGAGCAGTAGAGGTGGTGCTGGCAGCGGCAGCTGTGCAACAAAATTTATTTGATGTGATTCTTTAACTCCCCCCTCACCCACACCCCTCGCGATTTTTAAGTCTAAAAATCAAAAATTTTCACTAATTTCCAAGGAAAATCTATTATATTTTCCAACCAACATTTTTCTGTGCCTAACTCTACGTTCTACTTTGGCTGTGCGTGTGTGTGATTTTGCTGCGCAATTTCTAGGCCGCTTGCAGAATTCCGTTTTGGCAGCAGCTCAGTTAACGTTAGCAGAGGCAGCGAACTTTTTTCTACTATACTCAAAGTGCTTGAACTTTTGTGTATTTTTTTCGTGATATTCCATTTAAAAAAACAACAACAAATCTCTAAAAAAATTAACTTTATTCCATTCTTTAAAAAAAAAACTACAATTTAAAAAAAGTATTTTTCCTTTTAACCACAAAGAAGAAAAAAAGTCTGAAAAGAAATTTAGCAGCCAAACAACAACCGACCACCATTTTGAAACGAGTCGCTGTCATTGTGTGCGAGTGTGAAAGAAAACAAAACAACAACAGAAAAATAACAACACAACAGCTGCACCCGTTAAACCAGTGAGTGAGAGCGCGCGAGAGTGCATACGAAATTACAGTGAGAGAGCAGACTGTTTGTTTGTGTTCTGTTGTGTGTGTGCAACAGCCGCCTTTTGTCGTGAGAGACGTGCTGTGTTGTGTTTATTTTCTTGTCAAGGGAAAGCCTTCACAACAGCAAAAAGTGCATTGACGTTTCTCTTGCATTGCAACAATAACAACAAGTTGTAAATCAAGCAGAAGGTGACAAAAAAATTAAATTGCCGAGGAATTAATTCCCCCCTTATCACCACACAAAAAACTACTCCTAGAAAACACCAAACCCCCCTTAGGCTGACGTCAGAGTGCAAGCGAGAAGCGATGCGATACTACATGCTATAATAGTTCATGCTGCTTCAATGCTATAGTATGTCAGAGTGAGTACTATAGAGAGCAAAGCGTGTTGTTGGTTTATATCGCCTATTTCTGTTGTAAACTGGTGTTTATTGACTCAAGAAGGATTCCGACGAAGAATTTTTCATATCACAAAATATTTTCAAAGTAATTTTTTAAAGAAAATTCATGAAATGAACAAATATTTCTGCATCGATTTCCCTTATTTTTTCCAAATTATTTTATTATTATTTAATTAAATTTGCACTTGAGTCCACAAAAATCCCGACAGATTGGTCCACGCCATTAAAATTCGATAAGATGCAAAAGAACGATGCCAAAAACCGATCAATAACGGTAAATAAAAATAATAAACAAAGAAACTCAAACAGAGCCAAAGCGAGCTCTTGCTATAAACCATTGCACAACACGCTTTATCGCTTGCACTCGCTTTGTCTCGCTTGTAGCGTAGCATCCACTCTGACAGCTTTTGCGCTATGCCATAAGAAAACACACGCAGAGGTTTATAGCGTCGTCTAGCGGCATATCATAGCATCGCTTCTCGCGCGCACTCTGACGTCAGCCTTACAATTTGGAATAACGAAAAAGGGGTAAAGGAGGAATTTGGAATAAGTGGCAGATTGGTTACAATTTTTGCAAAAGTTGGTTTAATTGGAATAATCATCACTACAAAGCTTCCTCCACGTAGAATCTTTTTTTTTATATAAAATATATTTTTTGATACCCCCCGAACACAACAAAACCCCCCACACTCTTCTATCAATCATCTTTAAAAGAAAAATTTGAAAAAAAAAATCCATTACACAAAAATGGTTGAACGCATTTTGGAAGAAACTACCTCTGAGGATATGGATTTAATTGCCCCCAATACCAGCAATGGGAAATGCATCAATTCATCGAATAATGATAATAATAGTGGTGGCCGGGCCATACGTTCCTATGCCAGTGTTGTCAATTCCAATAGGAAAAATAATGACAACGAAGAGGAGCCGGCCATTATCAGAGAGATGAATACCGACAGCACTAACAGCTGCACTGAACTAAAAAACTCAGGTATGTTTCTTGTTGTTGTTTTTGTTAATTTTTATTATTCTTCTTTTATCTTTTGTTCAATTTATTTTGAGATATTTGAATGTGAACTCTCGTATCGAATTGGTTTTTGGGGGTTTCTTTGTTTGCCACAAGAGGCAAGAGAGGTCGGTACCTCAATTGTTGTTATTTATTTTTTTAAACAAATATCGTTTGGGTGATGAAGATAATTAGAAAATCAAATCAAGAAGAGGAAGAAGAAATGAAAGGAAAATAAGAGGAAGAAGAGGTATCCCAATAAAGGTATATCCACATTGATTATTAATTAACATATTTATTGTGGCAAATATTTGTATTTACAGTCGGCCGGTCCGAACTTTGTATACCCTCCAAAAATGAGGTGGATATTCAAATAATCGATAAGGGCTACCAGGACCAAAATCATGCATTGAACAGAATGAAATTATGCATGACTGTAGAAAATCTATGTTTCAAATCCGCAAAAGTGAGGTCTATAATAAAAAGTAGATCGATTTTGAAAATTTTTGGCAGGAAGTTGTGCTACCCAATGAGAATTCAAAATACTAAATTATAGCTACATGGGGGCTACCCAATGAATACTCAAAATACGAATTTACAACCCAGTTGGTTAAAAAGCTGTCCAAAATCCACAAAAAACGGAAATTTTGGAGGGACCCATATAGGGTGATTACTTTAAAAAGTAGACCAATATCGATAATTCTTGGTATTAGAATTTACTACCCAATGAGTTGCCAATCTCCTACTAGGCGCGTTTTCCCCGGTGGCAGAAGGGTAGGTGGTCTCCATGATGTGCAGAGTGAAACTGACCTAGGTCTTCTAGGTTAACTTTTCTCTGCACTTCGTGGAAACCTTAAGCATCTTCGGATCTCCCGTGAACCAAAATGGATCGGGGTAGTGCCCTTAAATAAATTAACTACGATGAGTAAAAGAAACAAAAAGAATAAAGTTACGGTGCAGGTAGCCAGTACCTGCGGCAATTGTTGGTGAGGTTACAACCACGTGTCGAGATCAAGCGATTGTGATCCGGCAGTCCTAGGTGTGAAAGCCTTGGCACCTACAGCTGTATCTGTTGCAAGTGCATCAATTCCAAATCCAAACGTTGAGGAACCGGCTATTCCTTTGGCAAATGAGCATGTCAAAACTGATGAAAATCAGTTACTGGCTGACAGGACTGTAGTTCTAGGCGGGGACGTCCTACACGGGACTCTAAACGCTATCCGCGATAGTCTAGAGGAGTAACTGCTACTGAATCTTACCCTAACTGATGATGAGCTGGACACCAAGGTGATCCCAGCCAAGTCTACATAGGGGGATTGCTGTAGTATTAACGAAGGAAGCGCAGCCCCTGTTGACCGACCGACTTCAAGTCTGACTACAATAGGTCCTGTGTCGGCACTTGCCGACAATAAACTTCAGAGGCAATCTGCGACGGAGGCGATGTCCGACGATGGGGGGAATCTGTCGAGACCCCAGCAACGGACAGCGGCTCAAAGGTTGGGAAGGCCCGAGAAGTAGCTGATGCGAAACATTACAAAGGTGCTGTTTCGTATCTCCGCAAATTTGTGGGCGAGACGCGAATTTGATTTCGGAGAGGGTAAGATGAGATACGTAAGGAAGTTCGAAAGAATCTATCCGCCCGCTCTCCATCGTGAACTCGAGATGGACAGGATCTCCCTCCCGAATCCTACTGCTCGCACAAATGTGGTAGAATCGGCGAAGACCACTGTCTCTGACAAAGAAAGGTGCTAAACCGACTTGTCTAAAATGTCTAAGCCGACGTGTCCAAAATCCCCAAAATATGGATATTAGGAAGGTTCCGTTATATCGGACAAATTTTTATCATTTTTGGTAGTTGTATTTGCTACCCAAATAGAATCCAAAATTACAAAATTATAGCGAATTTCAGCGAAAATTATTTAATTAGGGGTTCCGTTTTTTTATGGCGGCTATACAAAAGCGGAGTAATAGCAACGTTAACGTATGTGAAAATTTCCAAGCTCTATCTTCAATATTGCGAGGTCAAATTTGGAAATTTATTTTGAACGAGACGATTGTTTCGAACTGTTGCAAATGGAATAGCAAATTTAACATGCACTGCCTCTTATGGTGTAGGGTATAAAAATAAGGTATATCCCATTTATCTTATAGATTATTAATTATCATATTATTTACTTTGGCAAACAATTTTTTTTATTTACAGTCTAGAAACCAAAAATAATAAAAATAAAAATAAAACAGTTTTTGGAATCATGTGATGTTATTGTTGTTGTTTGACTTACTTTCACAACAACAAAAACAACCGCAAGCAACCATAACAAAAAAGAAAAGAAATTCTTTTGTCTTGGTTGGTGTGTGCATACGTGCCATATGTTGGAATTGTGTTAATGCACCAGTGCCTTAGATTATTGAGATTTTTTTCGTTCGTTCTGTGTTTGGAAATACCCAGAACAATATGTACACACACAAAATGTCCAAACATCTGTTCCAAAAAAAAAAAAAAAAAGAAATAAATCAATGAAAGAGAGTTTGCGAGAGGCATCCTTTTTCTTTCATCCTGATACTCCTACGAATACACAACAACAACCTGTTGCTGCTACTTGCATAGCCATATCAGCTACTTGAGTGTGTGTTATTGTTATCATCCTCCTCATTACAGCTGTACTACTACTATATGATGTTCCACTTGAATTGAATTAAGGGATGCTCTAAGATGAAAAGAAGAGGGATTGAATTGAAGGAAAAAATTGTTGGTGAGGGATTGAATTTCCAAGACAGGAATTCCGAAGAAGAGAATTTATTTTCCATTTTGTGTGTGTGTGTAAATATCAAACAGCTGATCACGTAATTTGTTGATGAGACAAAGAATGAGGAGGAGGAGTAGGAGGGAGGGACTATTGTCATTGTATTTCAGTCAAAGGAATTATCGAACATTGTTTTAAAGATTAAGTTATTAAATAGTACTTCGTTAGATATTAATGTAGTACCCTTAGTGTGTCTTCTAAAAGACATGCTGGATCATGTAAAAGACTATGAATTTGCTGTAAATTACAGTCATTTATAGGAGATCTGAGAGTGACAACTATCTTCTTCTCTTAAACGGAAGAGTTTCTAAATTTTTGTATGAGGATAAATTATCGAAATTATCCAAATTATGCGGATAATTTATCTAAATTATATGGACAACTTATCTATATTATCCTGACATGGGCACAGATACTAAGATATGTAGATAATGTATTTATCTTATCCAAAAAATCCAGATAAATTATCCAAATGATGTATATAATGTATTTAGGCCTTGTACATGATTTCAATATGCATTTTTTCCTATTTAAATGACGTAGATAATTTACCTATCGACGCGGATGACTTATCTATGCTATACATTTTTATACATATCATGTAGATGATGTATCCGCATTACACACATTCTAAGATATGTAGATAATGTATTTATCTAATTAAAAAAAAATTCAGATAAATTATCTATTGACGCGGATAACTTATCTATGCTATAAATGTAATACTTATCAGGTAGATAATGTATCCGCATTACACACATTTTAAGATATGTAGAAAAAGTATTTATCTTATCCAAAAAATCCAGATAAATTATCTACGTTCTCCAAATGATGTATATAATGTATTTAGGCCTTGTACATGATTTACATATGATTTTTTCTTATTTAAATGACGTAGATAATTTATCTATTGACACGAATAACTTATCTATGCTATAAATTTGTATACATATCATGTAGATAATGTATCCGCATTATCAGAATTACATCTAAAATGTATCTGTAATATACAAATGATGTGTATGGATTGCATTTTAAAGACCCAAAATTATGTAGATAATTTATCTACATTATTCATATGATTGAAAATAATTAAAAATGTATGTTTTTTTATGAAAATAATGTAGACAACAACTATTTAGATTGTGGATGTCATCCAAATCATGTGTAAAAAATATCTATGTATTTTATACAAATAATTACATATTTATATGTATATGATATAATGATGTAAAATAATTCATAGTATCTGATCTTGAACTTAGTCGGATGCCTTAATCTAAAAAACATCAAACATTTGACCGCTTCTCTATTACATAATTAATTCTATGTGTCATCAATTCCCATTCCAATTAGTGTCTGCGTTTTTTTATTGCACCCAAGTGCATTTTTAATGGCCATATGGGGCGTTCTGGTGATAAATTTCGTTGGCATATTTTTTTGCACAGTTTTTTTTATGTAAAAAAAAATCATTCATTTCTCCTCTTCCACCTCACACTTATTAAGGTTAGTGACCACTAAAATGATTTGACATTGTAATTATGTATTACGGACTAGTCTAGGTTTTATTTGAAAATAAGTTTTTTTTTTTTGAACCACAACGAAAAATGAGATTCAATTTGTGAAAACTAAAAAACCCGCAAACATTTGAAGAAAAATGTCATAATTAAAAAAAACATAATTGCAACAATTTTTCAATTTTAAAACCGTGGCTGACTGAGGCTACTACTTGGCTTGCTTGCTGGCTGTCCAACTGTCTAGCTAGTCCGGTTGTTGACATGCCCATTCATTGTGTGTCATTGCAATGACCTACCTCAATGCAATTGCAATTTCTAGAAAAAAAACAAAATAACAAATTCTGAAATCTATGATTGCAAAATGACGAAAATTGGGGGTAATGATATACAGTGGTGGTCACAGAATTAAAACATTTACTGTGGTAAACATATATCGATCAGCCCTCGATTAGTTTGAAGTATTTTTGAAAATTTTTTCATTCAGAACACTTCGATATACTGCACTTAAGAGATTTAGTGTGAAAATAGAAAATTTTTGCATGCAATTTTTCCATAAATAACGGTTTTTATAAAAATACCTCGACTTTGAAGTGGCCATATAATTAAAACATTGTGTGGGATTTTTTACTTTACTGCATTTTTTGAAAATATTTTTAGAAAAGCT